AGCCCAGCAAGTGACATCTTCCTGCTCCTCCAGTCTCTTGTCTGAAGGGCCAACATCCATGAGGGACAGGAATATATACTTTCTTCCAAATAACAAGCAGCAGGGCTGGGCATCCAATGACATTATGATCCAATAGATGCAAGAGAATGATATTTGATGGAGGCAGTGATGACAGATTATCTTGCCTATCTAGAGACAGCACTCCGTCTTACCTGGAGCTGTCCCTAAGAGACTGATGAAGGCTGTTTCTCCTACTCAGCTTCCTGAGCAATAGGAACCAGCCACTGAAGGCTGAGTCTGCCCGAGGCTGGAACCAGCTCCCAGGGGCTCCTTTGATGATGATGAAATCGACTCATAGTGATGTAAAGTGGGCAGCCCTGTCCAGCAGCTGATCTTTTCTGGCAATTATTTGGAAGTAATGAAAGTGAATGCATGACATTTACAAAGAAACCCCTCTGTCAGCAGGAAAGCTGCCACATTCTCCCGCACCTCTGAGAATACGCTTAGCTTGAAATAATGTTCATTTTAGCCAAGTCGTAAATTACAAGTGTGTTGGGGTCCGACGGGATTTATTACCATTTGGAAGGAGGTTATTGGGCCTGGAGCGTGGCTGCTGCACACGGCACATGGTTCAGAGTGGTGGCTGCGTCGTGAAGTCTGCAGCCAGGGAGGGTTCCTTTCTCACCTTCTCTTTAGCACGTCTCCCCTTTCGCCTTTGCAGTTCCTCTCTGGAGGTTTTTTACTGCTAATGTTCCACAGAAGCACCAGCAATTAAGAGCACACTGCTGCAATCCGGTTTCCCCAACTGTTGCTTCGATTTGACCGGACAACGAGCCGGTTGATGAGCAGGTGGGCTGGGCCTTCAGTCCCCCTGGGGTCGGGGGAGGGCAGGAAGGGCGGGCTGCACACCTAGGCTCAGCTGAAGACCTGGGAATGCGGAGTGGGCAGAGCGGCGGCTGTAGACTCAGAGCCGGCATCAAGGCCGACCTCTCAGCGCCACGCCCCTGCCCCTCATCATGTGGGAGGAGAGTGGGCACTAACAGGAGGGTGGTGCTCAGCGTCCCCTGACCTCTCTGGTTTTCCTTTCCTACAGACTTATGGACACTCAAGCCCCTGAGTTTATTCATTTTTATTTATTTTATTTTTTTAAGCCCCGGAGTTTAAAGCAAACTCCTTTTCTTGAGAATAGTGCTGGGTTAGCAATAGACAACACAGTTTGCTGATCTCAGACTCAGGAGGCCTGAACTTGAGTTCTGCTTCTGCCACAGACTCTTTATGTGACCTCAGAGAGGTTTATTGGAGCTTCAATTCCTCCCACTTGTGAAATAGAGATTAACAAACAAACAAACCCAAACTGTCTAATCAGCTCCATGGCACCATCTTGAGTATCAACAGAAGATGGTCTGTGGATACCTTCTAGGCACTGTGTGAAGACCCATCACTGGGTATGCAGAGAGGGGGATGTTGTGGCCTTGGAAATACTCTGTAAACTATAAAGGGCATGGTGTCCTACTGTGCTTACTTAATTACATGTTACATTAGTTTCCAATTGCTGGCCTAATGAATTAAACAGCTGTAAGTTAGTGGCCTAAGACTGTACCCGCTCATGATTTCCTACTGTCCATGTACCAGGGGTCTTGGTGTGGTGGGTCTGGGTCCTGTGCATAGGGTCTCACAGGCTAAATCAAGATCAGTCAGTGGGCTGTTTTCTCATCTGAGGCTCCAGTCTTCCAAGTCATCCAGGCTATTGGTAGAATTCAGCTCCTTTTGGCTGTAAGACTGACATCCCTGTTTTCCTGCTGGCTGTTGGCTGGAGGTCACTCACAGCAGGAGGAGGTCCCTTGAAGGTTCTAGTCACAGAAACTCATCACAGATGCTCTGGCACATGGCAGCTGGCTTCTTCCAGACCAAGGTCAGTGGTCCGTGCTGTCTACTGCCATCCCAGTGTTATCCTCGCCAAGAAAAGGAGATTGTTGGGGCTTGAACTTAACTTATTTCAAAGGCTTCCCTGATTATGTCAGGCCCACCAAAGATAATTCCCCTTTGGATTAAGCCAAATCCTACTGACTAGTAGCCTAATCTTGGGAAGGCCCTCCCACGCAATTCACCATTCCTGCCCGAACCGGAGGGGAGGGTGTTGCATGGGGTGAGTACATCAGAGGGTGGGAATCCCGGGGCCATCTTGGAATCCTCCCCAGCCTACATGCATATCCTGAGATGGCCTGGATATTGCACATGGGGCTTCTGTCTTTCTTTTGGAGGAAACAGGGACCCACTTCCTTTCGCTGGCTTCAGCCACGCAAGGGAAAAATGGCAAGGCTGAGGAGCTGTGTTGCGCGTAAGGCTTGGTTCCTGTTCCTCTCTTTCTCCCACTTGCTCCTTTGGTTTCCAGGGTCCTAGGGGGCCTTCCCTCTGCAGGCTTGAGCTGATGCGTCTCACTGTTAGACTCCTCCGAGAACATCAGAGCTGGAAACTTCCTTGGGTCTCATCCAGTGCCGCTCCCCCTTGGGAGAATAAGAATGTGTCTAAGACACAGACTCACCGGAGAAACTGATTTGGTAGGTCCACTTTGGGTCTGCTTCTGCTGCTGTTGCTAAGTCGCTTTAGTCATGTCCGACTCTGTGCAACCCCATAGATGGCAGCCCACCAGGCTCCTCTATCCACGGGATTCTCCAGGCAAGAATACTGGAGTGGGTTGCCATTTCCTTCTCCACTTTGGGTCTAAGAAGCTCTATTTTTTTTTTCTTAGCATTTTATTTATTTATTTTAACACCAAAACATTTAGTACTGGGACATAGCCAATTAACAATGTTGTGGTGGTTTCAGGTCAACAGCGAAGGAATGCCTCAGATGAATGCGACGAATGGCTAGGTTTAGAACAAACCAAACCAAACAGGAAATCTTAAAACCTGAGGTCCGGAGACATAAGCTGACTTGCTTCATCTGAACGACCTGGGCTGTCTTGTGTGCCCGCTACAGAGCTAGGAGTTCAGTTTATAGAGTCTGCTTTCACTTTTTCTTCTCAGGGGTCTAATCCTGTGTTTGTCACCCTCTTATTTTATTTTATTTTTTTGGCTGCACCTTTCCCTACCAGGGATCGAAGCCAAGCTTCTTGCTTTGGAAACCCAGAGTCTTAACCACTGGACCACCACGGAGGTCCCCGTCACCCTCTGAGCGCAGATGTGAGCTTTGCTGAGATCAAGAGTGACCAGGGAGCCCAGACCCGCACCTCCATCTCCGGCAGCCCTGGCGGGGACAGCGTCAGGGGACCCTGGGTGCCTCCCCTCTGCGTATTGTGACTGACAGTCTCCCAAACCCCACCACTGGGCCTCCCCGGCCACATCCTGGGCGACGCGCAGGCCCGCACTGAGGGTGGGTATGAATTATTTAGAGGCGCCGGTGGAATACTGTTGTATCGGTAACACAGACGATCTGTTTGTGGCCTTGGGGCGCCTCCGCCGTGTGCTCCATCACTGTTTCCCCTCATGAATAATGGAGCAGCTGAATTACTCTGCGTGTATGGGATTCATACCCTGAGAAAACAAGGTTGCTCTGAAATTAATTTTCTGTACTAAGAGAGTGACAGAAAATCAATTAATCGCACATTATTCTATACGGAGACAGAGGAAAGGAAGCCGTGGAAATGGCTCGGGCCATACGTCAGCGAATGCCCAGGGTGGCCAAGAGCTTTGGTGGATGCTCCGCTGAAGTAGGTGGCACCAGAGGCCATGTGACCTGCCAGGAAAGGGGTCAGTGGGCACCAGGGGGGTGGCTTCCTGGGCCTGCCTCTGTGCTGAGTGTTTTCTCTCCTGGCAACTGGGTTGGTCACGGTTCTCTCTGCCTGATGCTGGCTGTCCCTAGAGCCATGTCTGCATTAAGGAGAAGGATGGGTCATCTCTGAAGCAGACCATGGACCCAGCTGTCCCCAGAGCCCGCCCAGCTCCCCAGGGGGCTGCTCACTGATGAAGGTGAGGTTGACCTCCACGGGCACTCCTCTGCCTGCATCTGCATCCCTCAAGGAAGCCACTGCCTTTACTGCTTTGCTTTCTCCCCTTCCACCACAATTACATCTCAAGTAAAAAAAAAAAAAAAAAATCTCCTATGCTGCTTTTTTCTGAGGTTCAAACACCCTGGAGGATGGGAATTACTGTCTGCCCTCAGTATTCCTAGCTGAGCAGAGCCCCAAACAAAAGAAGGAGTCTTTCATGGTAGGTTTTAAGCCAGGAGACATTTGATGGAGGAAGATAATGTGCAGGTCAGGGGGCATCAGATGGTGAGCATTCCTGGACTTCTGAGGTGATCACCCCCCTGTGGGTAGCTGTTTATTCTGCCCATCTGTCAAGTGGGTACCTTTTCGAGTAAATAAATCTTTTTTGTCTATCAGCTGAGAAGGAGGCTGGGATTTTATAGATAAAATGTAGATGACAAAGGAGACAAAGATGTTTAGGACTGTCCCCCTGCCCTACCCCTGGGAGATCAAGGTGAACCAGCTTCTCTCGCCATCACACAGCAGCTCCGTGGGGGCCCCGCCCAGCTCACCCCCTAATGTTCTCAAGCGGGGGTGGCAGGGAGACAGAGTCCGGAAAGCCTAGAAGTGGGGATAACCATGGGAGCCCTGTCTTTCCCAGCCTCGTTGGCTGCAGTGGAGAGTCACCTGGACCCAAGGGCAGATCACAGGAGGACCCAGCAGAATGAGGCTGGACCTCGGAAAGGGGCCCGCCGGCAGCCTCAGCTCCAGAGAGGAGGGAGGGATTTTAGATCCCCAGTTAAAACTGTTTCCCCTCCCCAGACTCTTCTCATTGGATTTGACATTATGCTGAATGGATGGGTTGAAGGCTAAGAAGGTTTTGAAGAAAGCCTTTCTTGCTGGCTTGTGCATTCCGTTACACCACATTCTCCTCCTCCACTAAAAGGAACAAATGGCCTGCTTATCAGCTGCCTGAGCCCTGACACACGGGTGTCCCCCGCCCTGCAGGCAGGCTGACACACAGGCAGACATGTCACATCTTCAGCTTCTGATGGGCGGCCTCGGCACGGCCAGACCCGGCGGCTGACAGGCAGGGGTAAGTCACTCCCCGCTCGGCTCCAGTGACTCCGAGTGTCCTGATCAGCGATGTCAGCATGGTGTTCGTGCCCCAGAGTCTGTGACAGGAGATTTCAAAGCTCGCCATGCAGGACGGTAGTAAACAGACTCAAATCAGGCTCTGGACCCACATGTAGGAAGGCTGAGGGGGTGCAGGAGGTGAGGAGTACAGTTGCAGGAGCCGCTGAGATTTTTTACCCCACGACCAGGCACCTGCTTTGGATTTCAGATTGCCTAGAAATCCAGTTTCCCCAAAAAAGTCATATTAAAATTATACTATGGGAGTTCTTTTAAAGGAATTAGATGTGGAGTGGGGCAGGCATTGTTTCAAGCTTTAGCAAGGGAAAAAATACTTTTGGTGATACGAATTTTAGCTTCTTCCAACTCTTGCTTCAATGTAAGACTCTTGTTTTATGTTGTTGTTCAGTCAGTCAGTTGTGTCCGACTCTTTTGCAGCACCATGGACTGCAGCACACCAGGCTTCCCTGTCCCTCACCATCTCCCAGAGCTTGCTCAAACTCATGTCCATTGAGTCAGTGATGCCATCCGACCATCTCATCCTCTGTCATCTCCTTCTCCTCCCGTCTTCAATCTTTCCCAGCATCAAGGTCTTTTTCAATGAGTTGGTTCTTTGCATCAGGTGACAAGAGTACTGGAGTTTCAACATCACTGCTTCCAATGAATATTCAGGGTTGATTTCCTTTAAGATTGGCTGGTTTGATCTCCTTGCAGTCCAAGGGACTCTCGAGAGTCTTCTCCAACACCACAGTTCAAAGGCATCAATTCTTCAGTGCTCAATCTTCTTTATGGTCCAACTCTCACAACCACATAAGACTACTGGAAAAACTATAGCTTTGACTATAGTGATGTCTCTGCTTTTTAATATACTGTCCAGGTTTGTCATAGCTATACATATACTCAGCTGAATGCAGAGTTTCAGAGAATGGCAATGAGATATAAGAAAGCCTTCTTACATGAACAACGCAAAGAAAGAGAGGGAAAAAATAGAATGGGAAAGACTAGAAATCTCCTGTTTTATAAAAGTGCTTTTTAGAAAGAGTATAGCTACAGCCTGCGGGGCTTTTGAAGAACATGTCTTTCTTTCTCATGAAGTTTGGGCATAAGCTGCTGGCTCCACTCTCTGAGGACCAGAAGCTCTAGCTCTGGCTGCCTTGAGGCAGGATCCGGAGGAGCTAGGCACCCTTGTCTGCTTCCCTTCCAGGTGAGGGCGCGGGAGGCTTCGATCTTCCGCCTGCATCTGCAGCATCTTTGGTTTGGGTTCCCTGCCTCGGTTGCCCCCATTCTCAGTGGAGGTGAGGGGGGCAGGCACTCAGTCCAACAGGGATGGAGATTCAGGTCAGAGACCTCTCCACAAGCATGGGGTGCCTGCTCCCCGCCTCCACAAGCCCCGCCCCGCCCCGCCCACTCCCCGCCCACTCCCCGCCCACTCCCCGCCCACGCCCCCGCCCAGTCTCAGGGTCCCGCCTCTTCCTCAGTGAATCGCCAGAGGAGCCAACCCGGATCCCTCCAGTGGGGCAGTGGGCCTCCGTACCTTCCGTCTGCCCTGGATCTGTACGTCCATCTGTTTAGCAACTCGTTAGGAAGGTGCAGCTCTTGGGCTGTGTGTCCCCTGGCAGGCGTCAGAGCCGCTTGCCAGACTCCAGCGCTCTCCAAACCAACCAGAAGTCACCCAAGGAGCAGAACCAGTGACGGAAGGATGAGGGCTGGTGAGCGACCACGAACAGTCCCCCAGCTTTGTGAGTTATATTAGTGCCTCGCCCACCTGCAGTATTTCACATCCTACTTCCAGAAACGGCTGTCTCTGCTCTGGAGGAAGAGACAATTTTTCCATTTTTACAGACGGGGCATGACACGTTCAAGGGGGTACCTGGAGAGAACCAGGGACTCTTGGTTCAGTTCTGTTTTGCCAGGCTGTGAGTGTGATAGAGACAGGCAACTGGCCTGTTTGTTTCTACTACCTGCCTTAAGTAAAGAACCTTTTGGCTACTTGTTGATTTTCAAGATGGCTCCAGAGAAACAGCTACAGAGGCGGATGGACAGCCTTTCTACCAATCTGAGTCAATTGACACGGACAGAACCCACATTGTAGGTCAGCCACTGGGCTGCAGGGACGAGAATTGGGTGTTCCAGTAAGCAAGCTGGGAAATAAGCATCTGTCGTTCTGTGGGCTCCCATCTTCTGGTTTCTATTGGCCTTATGAAATAAGGAGGAGAATGGTCACTTTCCTATTTTGTTTGTTTATTTTTTTCGGCTGCACCATGAGGCATGACCAGGGATCAAACCCAGGTCCCCTGCATTGAAAGCTCCAAGTCTTAACCACTGGACCACCAGGGATGTCTTACAAATGATCACTTCTTGAGCACTGTCTGTGGTCTGGAATCAAAGCCTGATGCTTCATATATGTGCCTTTACTTAAGCATTAGTATATACCTTTGAGAAAAGTAAAAGAGTGATCCATTTTACAGCTGAGTCAACTGAAACTAGGAGGAATCAGGCAGCTTGTCTGAGGTCCCACACTTAGCAAGTAACAAAGATGGGATCCATCACAGGCCAGCCTGACACTTAGGGTCAGATGTCACCCATCTGTCCTGTCCCCCAAATTGTTCTTCTGTAGGTTTAGCTGAACCCCTTGGTAATGTTGGTTTTGCTGACTGGTGCTCAAGCCTCTTTTTACATCCACTAAGACCCTTTCTGCAAGATTGACTTTAAAGGGAAGGAGACAGTACCTTGTGACCAGCCTGGTCTGGTAAGAAGTCCCTCTGGCAAGCTGGTTTGACACTAACATGCAATTTGCATCTACATTCTGCTAGCTTCCAGCTCATGCCCTGTCTGTTAAATACACTGCATAGTTCAAGACTGTGTATTTAATATATTTAAATGGAATGTAATGTCTTAAAGTTGAGTTGAATAGTGGCACAGCTACCTATGGTGGAAAGAAAAATGCATCGAACATCCCAACATTGTAGCATGTAGGTTCGAGTCTTGGATTTGCACTTTAACCAGGTGAGTGAATGTAGCCAATTTAGCTATTCGCTGAGCCTCCATTTCTTTATTTATAAGATGAGTGTAATTATATCTTCCTACCTTTCTTAGCTTGTATGTATGTGAAATGAAATAATGCACAAAAGGTACCTCATGGTTTGTAAAGTGTTACAACAACATGATGGATAATTAGGATATATACATGTACTTCTTTTTCTTATTTGCCATCTTGATTTCCTTCTTAGAGAAATGGAGAGACATCGCACATTTTTTTTTTCTTTCAGATTTCCCTTCTTCCGACCAAATTGCCAGTAGAATGAAAAATTACCTGAAGGAAGAATTCTTTGCAAGTGTAAAAAGGCATCTCAGACAACAATGGCTATTTCTTTTAACCTTTTAAAAAGCTACAAGATGCCATGAAAATATAGGGAACTTGCAAACAAAGATCTCTTGGAATGATGTATTACTGTTGAGTGGGATGAACTCACTAAGCTGAAACTGTCAGTGAGTTTGACTGCAGTGAAATGACATCCTGGAATTCCAGTAAGCAAGGTCTACATTAGAGGAAGTGTTACTTTTGTGTGGACAAAAAGGTCTGCTTTTGGGAATTCCCTGGCAGTCTAGTGGTTAGAACCTGGGGCTTTCACTGCTGGGGCCTGGGTTCAACCCCTGGTCAGGGCACTAAGTTCTCATAAGTCATGGCCAAAAAATAAAAAAAAAAAAGTCTGCTTTTGATGCTTTCCTTGGTCAATCCATCACCACTTAAAGAATTTTTTTTTAATGCAGACTGCTTTTAAAGTCTTATTTAATTTATTTTATTAATTTATTTTGTTTCTGTTTCATGTTTTGTTTTTTTGGCCTCAAGGCATGTGGGATCTTAGCTGCCCAACCAAGGATCAAACCCTCAGCCTCTGCATTGGAAGGTGAAGTCTTAACCCCTGGACCACCAGGGAAGTACCCCCATCCTTATTTATTTATTTATTTTTTAAATGAAACTGCTTTCAGATGGGGCTACACTCAGTAACTGAGTGTGTTCACCGCCTGGTCTGTGAGACAGTGATGACTCAAATGGCAACAGACAGCACATACTATAGAAAAACCCCATCTCCACCCTCAGCTCTGGCATACAGGGGCCTGGCTTCGATGGGACAGGTGAGGTGACCTGCCTCATGTCACAAGCAGGCCTTGGCAGGGCTGACTGTGGATTCAACTTCCTGCCTCTCTGGACAACCCATATTACTTTGCATTCCGCTAATTAACTCATCATCCGTCATGTCATTTGATATCTCCACTCATATGTTAATATCTTCATTTTATAGAATAAACACAGAAACTCTTATTTACGCTGAGAAGGAGATCCACCTGTACGGTGAACACAGCGTGTCTAGGGTTGGCGAGCAGGCTGAATAAAGGCAGCTTTTGACAGGTGGCAGGCTGGCCTGGGTCGACCCTGCTATCAAAGACAACCCCTTGAGTGTATACCGAGGAGCGCCGGGCCCCTCACTGACACTTGCTCATTACAGTGACTAATTAATATGTCATTGGCCTCTAATCATGAATCTAGAGTAGATTAGCAATGATGAAGCCGTGGAAATTAATTTACAAACATCTACATATTTCTCCTTGACCCAGTGGGGCTCACAGGTGCCCTCTGGAAAGCAGAAACAGGGAGTCAGCACGCAGGGAACAGAGGACCTAGGAAAATAGGAGAGGTTCAGACACCACTGCCGAACTGGGACCAAGACCCTTCACCCAGCAAGTGGCCTCATGGAACGGGGTGGCCTGAGGAGTTAGAAATTAAAATATCAAGTAGGTCAGAAGATTAAAGGACCCCTCCTTTGATGCAACTGGATGTAGAGTTTTCAACAAAATGAATGCCTGAATTACATGACTTAAGGGTAGGCCTTCAGTCATATCCTCCTGCAATGCAGGAGACCGTGGTTCGATTCCTGGGTCGGGAAGATCCCCTGGAGAAGGGAAAGGCTACCCACTCCAGTATTCTGGCCTGGAGAATTCCATAGACTATATTGTCTGTGGGGTTGCAAAGAGTTGGACATGATGGAAGGACTTTCACTTCCACTTTCAAGGGTAGGCACTTTCCCGGAGGTCCAGTGGTATAGACCCTGTGCTTCCATGGCAGGAGGCACAGGTTCAATCCCTGGTCAGGGAACTAAGGTCCCTTATGCTGTATTGTTGTTCAGTTGCTAAGTTGTGTCTGACTCTTTGCGACCCCATGAAGGAATAACTCTCACTCCCCTCAGCCTCAGCCAGGGGTAGCTTCTAATCTACCCTCTGTCTCTGTGACTTCACCTGTTCTAGATATTGCATCAAGTGAAATCATACAATGCTTGTCCTTTTGTGTTTGGCTTATTTCACTAAGCGTAGTGTTTTCAACTTTCATTCATGTAGCAGCATGTATCATAGTTTCATGTCTTATGACTTAATCATATTCCATCATGTGTCCATCCTACAAAAACCACATTTTGCTTGCCCATTTATCTGTTGATGGACACCTAAGAAGTTTCCACCTCTTGCTATTGTGAATAATGTTGCAGTGAACATGGGTATTCGTGTATTTGTTTGAGTCCTTGTTTTCAGTTTTTTTGGATATATACCCAGGAGTGTAATTCCTCGGTCACATGGTAATTTCATATTTGACTCTTTGAGGAATCAGCCAGTTTGTTTTCCTTGACAGCTGCCTCAATTTACATTCCCACCAGCAATGTACAAGGGCTCCAATTATTCCACATCCTTTTCAAAGTCGTTAGATTCCATTTAAAAAATGTATTCATCCTAGTAGGTATGAAGTGGTGTCTTGTCTACATTTTGACTTTAATTTCTCTAATGACTAATGATGTTAAGCATCTTTTCTTAGGCTATTTGGCCATTTTACAGCTTCTTTTTGAGAAATTTCTACTCAAATCCTTTATCCATTTTTTCATTGGACTGTTTTTGTTGTTAACTGTAGGATTTCTTTAAATATTCTGAATATTAAGCCCTTATTAGATATATAATTTGTACATTCCTCCTTTATATAGATTGTCTTTTCACTTTCTTGGTAGCGTTCTTTGATGAACAGAAGCTTTTTGTTTTAAGAATCTAATTTCTGTTTTTTCTTTCTCATTCTCAGTCTAAGACTTTATTTGCCAAATCTGAAGATCATGAAATGTACTCCTCTGTGTTTTATAGCTTTCGCTCTTATTTTCAGCTTGTTGTCCCTTTTAAGTTAATTTTTGTATGCAGTGCGAGTTGTGGTCCAACTTCATTCGCTTGCAAGTAGAAATCCAGTTGTCCTAAAACTACGTGTTGAAACCATATTCTTTTCCTTCTGAAGGTTCTTGGTATCCTTGTCAAAATTCAATTGACTATAAGTGCACGGGTCTATTCCTGGACTCTCAGTTCTATTCCACTGGAATTCCATACTTTCACTGTTAAGTATGACATTTGTTGTGCATCTTTCAAGAATGTCTTTCTTATGTAGAGGAAGTATCTTTATATTCCTAGTTTTTTGAGTGTCCTAATGCAATTTTACACCACCAATAATTTACTTAAATGGTCTCTTCTATTTAGAAATATGTTTGCCCTCATCTTCTGGGTACAGAAATCTTTTCTCAAATCTAACCCAGTGTCACCTCCTCTGAGCACCCATATGATCTTTGCATTTAAAGTCATGTCTCATATTTATTTGCTCTTATGGTTATGTTCTCTGCTGCTCCATGATCTCTTTGAGCATGGAGGCTGTGTCATATTCATTTTGCTGGTGCCAGAATCCAGGAAAGTGCTCTGTAAATATTTGCTGGAAGAATGCTGGCTGAATCACATTTTATGATTTCTTAACATCTCAGTGTTCCTAAAATCTCTTGGCTTAACTTCCCCTATGGGCTCATTAGGGAGAATCATCCCTCTATCTGACATGAGACACTGGTGGGATGTCCTTTGAGAGTCAAGGTCAGAAGAACAGAGGTAGGCCTGGGTGCTTCCTGGATGTTATGACATATCAATACCAAGGTGGAAAAGAGCTGCCCGCTGCTTTGCAGTCACTACCAGAGGACCGCTCATTCTGGGATTCATTATCCTGTTGTCCAAAAGCTTTGGCAATGACACACCATTTTCTTCCTTCGTTGTCAAATCAAATCCAGCCAGCAAATACTGATTGAATGACTCCTCTGTGCCAAACACATTGCTGGGAACAGTGGAGGGACACAGAGACGTCCATTTGGTTTTGCCCCTTCCTTCCCACGTGGCGTTTGGTCCAGGAGAGGAAGGCTTTCAGGCTAGGTGATGTTGCACAGGATTATGTGAGTTTCTTATTGCTACCATCACCGCCCCCCACTTAGTGGTTTACAACAATACAGCCATATCATCTCACAGTTCTAGAGGTTAGAAATCCAAAATGCATTTCACTGGGCTGAAATCAAGGTTGGCAGAGCTGTGCAACTTCTGGAGACTCTTGGAGGTGGGTCTGTCTCCTTGCTTTTTCCAGTATCTGCCTGGATTCCTGGACCTGTGGTGCCCGTAATCACATTACTCTACCTCTGCTTCCATCATCACATCTTCTCTGACCCTGGCTCTCGTGTTTCCTTTCTTCACCTTTAAGGACCCCTGTGGTTACACTGGGTCCACCTGGATAATTCACGATCCTCTCCCCATCTGAAGATGCCGAAGTTAATCACATTTGCAGAGACCCCTTTGTCACATACAAAGGGTCACAGGTTCTGGGCACTAGGACATGAGCATCTTTGGGGGTCTTTTAGCCTATCACAGGACTGCAGATTGGCTGAACTTTCACTGATCAGAGAGGGTCCCCCAGCACCAGTCCCATGGTCAAGTTCATGTAGCAAGTTCCCCTCCTGTCTCAGGGTGTCTTCACTTTATAGAGGGGGAAACCACAACCTTGAGAGAAAGTGACTGACGTCAGATCACACTGCCTGTAGTCTGCAAGGGCTCAGCCTGGGACAGGCTCTCTGACCTAGAATCCAAAGATTCCATGACTTAGTGCTCCATCAGATAAAGCAGGGCAGTAGACTTTCTGAAGGGGCGATGGCCCCCAACCCTCTTTCTCTGGTTCCACAAAAGCTCAGCCCTTCATATGCGGATGGGCCTATTTTCGGAGCCTGGATAAATTTAGCCACCTTAGTCAAAGAGGGGCACATGCATTTTGTGATTCTCTGTCTTCTTACTGTCCTTGGAGCATCCTGTGTTTTTCCGTTCACGTTTCATTCCATCCTAGCAGCCGTAAGAGCTTCAAGTCCTTTCCTCCATAGCCCTTCACACTGTGTGAACCAGCAGGGGGTATTCTTCTGAACTCAGAGGACCCTTAGGTTTCTTGGAACGGACCAGCCCTCAGGAAACCCCTTGCTCCCAGCTTGCTCAAGCCGACAGATTGCATTTCCCGTTCGCTCAGCCATCAGCTCCTGCCTTCTGTCACTCTGTGCCCACACACGGTCTCCCCGCAGACATCCAGAAACCTGCCTCCTGCCCACCCTTGCCACTCCAGAGCTGCTCTCTGCTAGGAGTGACACCCTCTCTGCCTGCCACGCCCCCCCGTCGTCTGACACTAACTCGGAGGCTTAGCGTCTGGGGCTGGAATTTTGTCGTTGCTATGGAAGTGGGAACGGGCGCAGCCTTCCAAACTCACAGAGTGTCCAAAAACACACACGGCATCTCGCGCTGACAACGCCACTGACAACCCGCGATGACGGGGATGTACTTTTGAGTGTCATCTTGACAAGGAACATGAGCCTCTCTCTGCCGGCCCACCCGCCTGGCCATCTGTCTCCCGAGATCGTCTGTACTAGCCTGGCTTGGATCCTGAAGCTCCCCCTCTGGGGGGCCTGTCCTCGCTCGGCCTGGCGGCCCCCGGGGGTGAGAAGGAACAAGCCCGGTGTCAGCGGGGGCCCTTCTGCTTGGAGGAGGTGGGATGAGGAAGCACTCTGGCCGAGCCCCGGGTCACTTTGGCTTCGGCCACTCCGAGGCCACGGGTGGGCATCTAAGCCGGGTGGCAGAGGGAGGCAAGCCAGACCTCCTGCCTTGTTCACGGCCTGCAGCCACAGCTTCTGGGATTTCCTCGGCTCTTGGAAAGGCAGGCCTTTGGGGGGACGCCAAGCATGTCCAGGTGGTTCGGGGAGGGCCGCCATCTACACGTGGATTCCTTTGCTTCCTGTCTCCAGCCCCCTCTCGGAGGAAGGGATGGCAGAGTTCCTGGTTGTGGTGGGCCTTCCCCACCAGCCAAAGTCACCAGCGAGTCATCCATCAAGGTGAAGACGGAAGGTCTGTAGAGTAGGGGAAGGGAATACGAGGGCCTGGTGGGGAAAGAAAAGGGAGAGGGGAGGGCGCAGGAAACAAAGATGGCTTCACGCTTGCTGTTCGCCGACATAGTGGATTCTGCCTTGCAGCTTAGGTCTGGTCCGCTTTCCCGCTAGGACACAGCAGGGCCTTCCAGGGGCTAGGAAGGTGCAGGCAAGCCCGTGACCACAGGGGTCAGCCCCCACCCCAGCCAGGGCTTCCTAATGCCCTGTTTTGTATTCTTTCCCCAGTATACGAGAGTTTTCTAGGCCCGATCTATCTGTGAGTGGTCTTGGGGGACCCCATAGACTTCTGTTCAATCCCCTCTGAGCCGTTGGTCCAGGATAATCACTTCTCTCGTATTCCCCACCCTCCGTCTCTTCCTCATGATTGTGGGAGCTTGGTTGCTAGCTTCTAACTCCTGCACGGGGTTGGCTGGCCCTTGCCTGCGGTGGTGGCCTGGCTCCCGGCTGGGAGCTCTGGCTTCTGTCTGCCCTGGGGTCAGAGCCTGGAAGTGTAGCCGTCAGCGCTGCATCTCCAAGATGACAGCTCAGCTCCTGATGCGGGGAGGCGACCAGCCCCAGCAATTATTCACTGATAAGTGCTTGGCTGGTGTCTCCTCCTAAAATAATCCTTGCACACGGTGGCGGCTGTCAGCACTGGCTCTGGGAGCTAATTCCAGCCTCCTTGTCTACATCTGGTGCCGAGGCTCTCAGCGGGGCCTTGCAGGTAGAAGACCCAACTTGTGTTGATAAGCTGATGGCCCTTGATGCCGGGGGGGAGTGGCAGAAGGAGGCAGATGTGACCTGGGCTTCGCGTCGCTGGGGCTCAAGCTAGCGCTCTGTGGTTGGGGCTTGGGTGGTCGTGGTCTATCTCTCACCATCCAGCTTTTGGACGATTCTTGGCTCCTTCTCAACAGGAACCAGGCCATCCGAAACCCCAGCTCAGTGGTTCTCAAAGTCCTGCCCCAAATTCCCTCCGGAAACTTTTCACAGGGCCTCCAGCCACAACAAAACAGTTCCCCGGAGCCCACCTTTACTAGGGAGTAAACAGTCACACAGCAACACCTTAGCGAGACAGCTGAAGTCAAAGGCGCATCGACTGTGAACAACAGGACGAAAAGAGCAGCAGGAGTAAGTCTTCCAGACACTGCTCGCCTCGCAAGCTTTGTGCTCAAAAATTTCCCGTCTTGATCCTAAGGAGAGACAAAACGAAACTTTGCTAGTTGAATCCAAAACGTTGGATTTGTTGGAAATCAATATAGTGTCCCATAATTGAGAGAAAATTTGAACAATCCATTTTGGGCACTTGCAAAACGACTTCAAGGGACTTCTATCTAAATAGTTACTATTAAGGGACTCGAGTCCAGCTATTTTCAGTTTTCATTTCTCTCTCCCAAATTGCAAATTCCGGGAAGAGAGAATTGTGTGGGGCCTGCCCAGGTTTGTTGTCAGTCCCTAGACCACCAGCAATGCCTTTGGGTCTATAATACTCTCCAGGGAAAGGGAGTCACTGTGGGCCAAGGAGCTACCCTGAGAAGTAGTAGCCAGAGAGAAAGAAGGTGAAAGTGTTAGTCGTCAGTCATGTCCGATTCTTTGTGACCCCATAGACTGTAGTCTGCCAGGCTTCTCTGCCTATGGAATTCTCCAGGCAAGAATATTGGAGTGGGTAGCCATACCCTTTTTTAGGTTGCCTTCCGAACCCAGGGGTCGAACTCAGGTCTCCTGCATTGCAGGCAGATTCTCTACCATCTCAGCCACCCGAGAAGCCCAACCAGAGGGAGGCCTGTATCTCTCCCACCTGGAGCCTTTTCCACCAGGCACTGGGACTTCATAAACTTTGTGGGGCAGCTGGTTGGGCAGGCAGTTCCTTCCACTGCAAGAATCTGTGCAGGGTAGAGAGGACTAGCAAAAACTAGGGATCTGAAAATAAGTTTTGGGTATCAGCTCTGACCCAGATGCTCTTCTGGATTTTTGAAATACATTAATAGAAAAGATGACAGAGATCCCCCCAAGCCTCAGGGGGCTTACATTCAGAGCAGTGGAATTATATTGCTTGAAGCATTTACTAAAGGGCTTGAGAGCTTCCTAGTGTCTACCCAAGGAAGGACCTCACTGAGTCATACCTGAGACACCTCTTTGCCTCACCCCATGCACCCAACCCATCCCTAAGTCCCATCAGCTTGACCTGTGAACAAGCCCTCGAGTGCCTCACCTCTCTCCATCTCCTCCACCAGGACCCAAGTCTGAGCCACATCCTTCTCAGCTCAGCTGTCCCACAATCGCAACTGGCCTTTGCAAGTCCCTTCTATCTTCCCTTTTGCTCATGGCCCACGTATGGGCTTCCCAGGTGGCTCAGTGGTAAAGAGTCCGCCTGCTAATTCAGGAGAGGTGGGTTCAATCCCTAGGTCAGGAAGATCTCCTGGAGAAGGAAATGGCAACCCACTCCAGTATTCTTGCCTGGGAAATCCCATGGACAGATTAGCGTAGCGGTCTGTAGTCCATGGGGTCACAAAGAGTCAGACACGACTTAGCAACTGAACAACAAGAACAGCAACTGGTCCACACGGCAGCCCGAGGGACTTTTCTTTCATTCAAAATGAAAATCCAATTACATCTGCACTGCAAACACACAACAACTTTCAAATGAAAGGGCCCTGACCTCTCTGTGAATTCACCAAATTAGCTGGTTGGTGAATCAGTGCGGTGGGGGAAGAAATCTTCTTGAGAAGAAATGTGTTTGGAGCTGGGCTTGGCGCTGCGTGGGCAGCATCACATGCAGAGGGGCTCTGCTTCCTAGGTGGGTCATGGGGAAAGGGGCTCGAGGCAGTGGGTGGGATCTAGGAGCGGCAGGGTCCAGGGTTCTGTGTCCTCAGGCGTGTCTCAGGACCTCTGAGCCTCAGGGTCCTGCTCTAGAAAATGGGGACAAAAGTCAGGGACTTTTATGAGGATTAAATAGATGATTTGGAGTTGAATGACCAGCTCACCACTCTTTCTTTTTTTTTTTTAATTAAAAAAAATGGTTATCTATTTATTTATATTTGGCTGTGTTGGGGCTTCATTATTGCACACGAGCTTTCTTTAGTTGCAGTGAGCGGGGGCGATTCTCTAACTGTGGTGCTCAGGCTTCTCTTTGGGGTGGCTTCTCTTGCTGGGGAGCACAGTCCCCAGGGCGCAGACCCAGTGGTTGTGGCGCAGGGACTTGGCTCCTCTGCGGCCTGTGGGATCTAGTTCCCGACCAGGGATCCAGTCTGCAACCCTTGCCCTGGAAGGCTAAGTCGTAACCACTGGACCACCAGGGAAGACCCCAGCTCACCCCTCTTGATATTAGCTAATTTAGATTTTTAGAGGTTTCACGTCATCTTTAGATTCAGCGCTCACTCTGCTGGAAGAATTTTCCTACCCCTCTCGTGAGGCCCACCGTAATCTCAGACCCAGGGCCCTCCAGCCTCAGAGCAGAGGGGCCCAGTCTCTCCACCCACCTGCCTCGGTCACCCCAGGCCATCCGCTCGGCTTCATTTAGCATTTTGATTTGTGCAGCTTTGCTGAGAATCTCTTACTGCAGCATGTTGACTTATCACTCATTGCAATAAGTTCCCATCCTCTCTCCTCCTGACAGCCTTGCCTAATGTACTTATTCATTCAATTTAAATAAATCGAACATGGGCCTATGACAGCCGATAAGTGAGTCACACAAGAACAAACAGAAGAGAAAGCTCTGCAAATAGTCAAATGTCAAGTAAGAATGGAAAACTGTCCCCACAGCTTCAACGAACCTTGGATGTCTAATATTTATGGCCAATTGATGTCATTAGAAAGTAAATAAGCCCTCTTATGTTGCATTACATAAGATTAACTGCCAGCAATGGAGTTTAAATAGCAGAGATAAGTGCAGATGGAAATAAACCTGTTTAAAGCTAGAAATATTTGATGGGCCTCCTTGCTGCTTTTAAGATAATTGATCTGTATATCTGTATTGAATCTCACCATAAAAGCTTTAAAGAGACGTGTGGCAAAGCCTGTTTAGACCCAAATCACATTTCTCTGGGGCCACCCAGCCAGGGTTAGAACCTCTCCAAAGAGGAACTCCAGGCCTGGGGGTGCTGCAAAGAGCTGGAAGAAACAGGAATCGTCTGGCTGTAGGCTCCCAAATGAGCAGGTACCTGGGGGGAATAAGGTTGGTTTAGCATCCAAGGGTGTGAGTGAGAGGGGGGCAAATCCCTCTCTTCAGGGCCTTTTAAAAATTGATGTATGGTGGATTTACATGTTGTGTTTGTTTCAATTTGTGTACAGCAAATTGATTCAGTTATACCAGGTACAAATGTATATTTCATATTCTTTTCCGTTATGGTTTATTACAGGATATTGCATAGAGTTCCTTGTGCTATACAGGAGGACTTTTTGCTTATCCATTCTATATATACATATACATGAGAGTCTGCATCTGCTGACTCCAAACTCCCAGTCCCTCCCTTTCCCCAACTCCTTGACAACCACGAGTGTGTTCTCTATGTCTGTGAGTCTGTTTCTGTTTTATAGATATGTTCCTTTGTGTCATATTTTAT